TGTGTGTGTTTATTATTCTGTCTTTGTCTCTGTGTGTCAGTCGCTGCTGTGATAAGAAGAGCTGTGGAAACAGAAACGAGACGCCGTCAGACCCCGTCATCATTGACAGGTACAAACACACACACACACACACACACATAAACATAAACACAAACACACAACATTACACACTGACTGACACACACACAAACAGACACAGTTATCAAGCAGTGTGTGATGATCTCCTCTGAATGTATTTCATCCTCAGACATCATTTAAAAAAGAAACATTTCTGCACAGCCTGTGTACACCTGTGTGTGTGTGTGTGTGTGTGTGTGTGTGTGTGTTTATAATTGAACATGTCAGTGTTGTGATAGTGTGATCTCTACACAACAGGAACAGAGTGAGAATGACAGCAGAAACATCAACAAACACAAAACAGGCATACTGTGGAAAACAACAATCAGCTGATTATAAACAACAACAACAATCAGCTGATTATAAACAACAACAACAATCAGCTGATTATAAACAACAACAACAACAACAATCAGCTGATTATAAACAACAACAACAACAATCAGCTGACTGTGAACAACAACACTGACCTGAACAGCTGCAGATGATTAAAGTCCCATCAGTGATTTTTTTGGGTCTTTTATGTTTTGTGGTTCGGTCCGTCTGTTTACGTCTTCACCAGGTCACATGTTGGTTTTGTTCTCAGGCTGAAGGAGGTTCAGTGTTTGTTCTTTGGTCTCAGTGACTGTTCAGTCTCAGATCTTTACTAATACGGACCGTCAGATATGACAAAGGTTCCTCATGAAGAGAGGAGGATGATTTCAGGGTGAGTTTGGATCTGAGAGATTCTAACAGAACCAGATAAACTGGGGCAGATCAGGAAAACAGGGAGGATGAATAAATGGATATGGATGGAGGAGTAGAAAAGTGGATGATGGATGGATGGATGATGGATGGATGCGCGCACACACACACACACACACACACACACACACACACACACACACACACACAGTCAGTGCAGATGTGTGTGTGTTGCTCTCAGCCCTCTGTTTCAGACATCAGGTTAGAAACTCTCAGTCTGTGTTCACGGTGGTCAGGGTGAACAAGCAACAAGATCATCATCATCACCATCATCTTCATCCTCCTCACCATCATCATCATCATCACCACCATCATCATCACCATCATCATCATCATCATCATCTTCATCACCATCATCTTCATCCTCCTCACCATCATCATCTTCATCATCATCTTCATCCTCATCATCATAACCATCATCATCACCATCATCATCACCATCATCCTCTTCATCATCACCATCATCACCATCATCATCATCACCATCATCATCATCGTCATCATCATCATCATCACCATCATCATCATCACCATCATCATCACCACCATCATCATCATCATCATCATCACCATCTTCATCATCATCATCTTCATCATCCCCTCAGAGCTGAGTTTTTCAGGGTTTGAACGGCTGCAGGTCGGCGTCCTCATGAAGGGCCCCCTGCCTCAGGTTGAACATCACACTGACTGAACTGACGGTGATGAGGATGATGATAAAGTTAATAGTGATGAAGATGATGAAGATGTCGGGCCTTCTCTCGTCTTTTACCTCTCTGAATACCTGATGTGAGAATTTTTTGGGGGGGTATCTTCTACCGTCTGCGAGGGTCTCTAGTGAGTGCAGTGTGGGATTATGGGAAGACGGCGTGCTGTCAATCATTTAGCGGCGTAGGTGTGATTTCCCTTCATGCTGCAGGTCGGCTTTGGATAGAATCTCATTACTGGCCGTGTTTCAGGGTGACTGACAGCAGAATAATGTTTGGGGCCCCCAGAGGCCCCCAGCCGGCTAAATGTTAAATGTATAAATGCATGGGAGTCAATGGAAGATGAAGAGTGGAGGAATATTTTCTTCTTTGTGAGTAACAGTCGGAGAATGACGAGTGTGACCCTGAACGCACCGTCTGTCTGTCTGCTGCTGCTGGTCCACTGCTCAGACAGACGGGGACAAGACAGGGGACAACCATGACAAGACCGGGGACAAGACAGGGGACAACCAGGGACAACCAGGGACGAAACCAAGGACAAGACCAGGGACAAGACAGGGGACAACCAAGGACAAGACCAGGGACAAGACAGGGGACAACCAAGGACAAGACAGGGGACAACCAGGGACAAGACAGGGGACAACCAGGGACAAGACTAGGGACAACCAGGGACAAGACCAGGGACAACAATGGACAAGACCGGGGAAAACCAGGGACTATACAGGGGACAACCAAGGACAAGACTAGGGACAACCAGGGACAAGACCAGGGACAACCATGGACAACCAGGGACGAAACCAAGGACAACCAGGGACAAGACCAGGGACAACCAAGGACAACCAGGGACAAGACCGGGGACAACCAGGGACAAGACAGGGGACAACCAGGGACAAGACCAGGGACAAGACCAGGGACAAGACAGGGGACAACCAAGGACAAGACCAGGGACGAGACAGGGGACAACCAAGGACAAGACCAGGGACAACCAGGGACGAAACCAAGGACAACCAAGAACAAGACCAGGGACAAGACAGGGGACAACCAAGGACAAGACCAGGGACAAGACAGGGGACAACCAGGGACAAGACAGGGGACAACCAGGGACAAGACCAGGGACAAGACAGGGGACAACCAAGGACAAGACCAGGGACAACCAGGGACAAGACCAGGGACAACCAGGGACAAGACAGGGGACAACCATGACAAGACCAGGGACACAACCAGGGATAAAACCAAGGACAATCAGGGACAAGAGCGGGGACAACCAAGGACAAGACCAGGGACAAGACAGGGGACAACCAGGGACAAGACCAGGGACAAGACAGGGGACAACCAGGGACGAAACCAAGGACAAGACCAGGGACAAGACAGGGGACAACCAGGGACAAGACCAGGGACAAGACCAGGGACAACCAAGGACAAGACCAGGGACAAGACAGGGGACAACCATGACAAGACCAGGGACAAGACAGGGGACAACCAAGGACAAGACCAGGGACAAGACAGGGGACAACCATGACAAGACCAGGGACAACCAGGGACAAGACCAGGGACAAGACAGGGGACAACCAAGGACAAGACCAGGGGACAACCAGGGACAAGACAGGGGACAACCAGGGACAAGACAGGGGACAACCAGGGACAAGACTAGGGACAACCAGGGACAAGACCAGGGACAACAATGGACAAGACCGGGGAAAACCAGGGACAATACAGGGGACAACCAAGGACAAGACTAGGGACAACCAGGGACAAGACCAGGGACAACCATGGACAACCAGGGACGAAACCAAGGACAACCAGGGACAAGACCAGGGACAACCAAGGACAACCAGGGACAAGACCGGGGACAACCAGGGACAAGACAGGGGACAACCAAGGACAAGACCAGGGACAAGACCAGGGACAAGACAGGGGACAACCAAGGACAAGACCAGGGACGAGACAGGGGACAACCAAGGACAAGAACAGGGACAACCAGGGACGAAACCAAGGACAACCAAGAACAAGACCAGGGACAAGACAGGGGACAACCAAGGACAAGACCAGGGACAAGACAGGGGACAACCAGGGACAAGACAGGGGACAACCAGGGACAAGACCAGGGACAAGACAGGGGACAACCAAGGACAAGACCAGGGACAACCAGGGACAAGACCAGGGACAACCAGGGACAAGACAGGGGACAACCATGACAAGACCAGGGACACAACCAGGGATAAAACCAAGGACAATCAGGGACAAGAGCGGGGACAACCAAGGACAAGACCAGGGACAAGACAGGGGACAACCAGGGACAAGACCAGGGACAAGACAGGGGACAACCAGGGACGAAACCAAGGACAAGACCAGGGACAAGACAGGGGACAACCAGGGACAAGACCAGGGACAAGACCAGGGACAACCAAGGACAAGACCAGGGACAAGACAGGGGACAACCATGACAAGACCAGGGACAAGACAGGGGACAACCATGACAAGACCAGGGACAAGACAGGGGACAACCAAGGACAAGACCAGGGACAAGACAGGGGACAACCATGACAAGACCAGGGACAACCAGGGACAAGACCAGGGACAAGACAGGGGACAACCATGACAAGACCAGGGACACAACCAGGGATAAAACCAAGGACAATCAGGGACAAGAGAGGGGACAACCAGGGACAACCAGGGACGAAACCAAGGACAACCAGGGACAAGACAGGGGACAACCAAGGACAAGACAGGTGACAACCAAGGACAAGACCAGGGACAACCAGGGACAACCAGGGACGAAACCAAGGACAACCAAGAACAAGACCAGGTACAAGACAGGGGACAACCAAGGACAAGACCAGGGACAAGACAGGGGACAACCAAGGACAAGACCAGGGACAACCAGGGATGAAACCAGCGACACGACCAGGTACAACCAAGGACAAGACCAGGGACAACCAAGGACAAGACCAGGGACAACCAGGGACAACCAGGGACGAAACCAAGGACAACCAGGGACAAGACAGGGGACAACCAAGGACAACCAGGGACAAGACAGGGGACAACCAAGGACAAGACCAGGGACAACCAGGGACGACACCAAGGACAACCAGGGACAAGACAGGGGACAACCAGGGACAAGAGAGGGGACAACCAAGGACAAGACCAGGGACGAAACCAAGACAAGACCAGGGACAAGACAGGGGACAACCAAGGACAAGACCAGGGACACAACCAGGGACGAAACCAAGGACAACCAGGGACAAGACAGGGAACAACCAAGGACAAGACCAGGGACAACCAGGGATGAAACCAGCGACACAACCAGGGACAACCAAGGACAAGACAGGGGACAACCAGGGACAACCAGTGATGAAACCAAGGACAACCAGGGACACAACCAGGGACAAGACCAAGGACAACCAGGGACGAAACCAGGGACATTCAGGGACACAAACAGGGACAATCAGGGACAGGACCAGGGGACAACCATATATATATAAATAAAACCCATGGTTAAAATTATTCCTGAGTTTGCAGGAACATAACTAAAACTCTGAGGTTTGTTATCAACCAAACCGTTTGAAAATCAGTTTAAAATTAATCAATCTATGGTTATTTAAATTAATCAATCTATGGTTATTTAAATTAATCAGTCTATGGTTATTTAAATTGATCAATCTAGGGTTATTTTAATGATACATACTGTAGACTGGACTGGTAGGAGTGGACGAGCTGACCTTAGCAAGATGGCCGCCATGCGCGGACGACTGTGTCTATTGTCTAACAGCGTGTGTGAGTTTTCTAGAGTTTATATATCTGTGTTTTTACTGCCGATCAGAGTAAATCAGTAAATCAGCTCCGTGTGAAGAAAACAGACAAACTGAAGAAAACAAACTAAAACTCTGACCGACATCAGGACTCACCATCAGTCAGGATCCAGGAAGAGGATCCAGGAGGAGGATCCAGGTCCGAACTCCAGAACAGAAACAAAAACAACCAAGAACCCCGACGGTCTGAGTGAAACTGCACAGATCCGCGGATAACTTCAGTTTATAATCCGGACTAGTCTCCTCCTCGGTCCCCTCGGTCTCCTCCTCCTCCTCCTCGGCCTCCTCCTCCTCCTTCTTCTTCTTCTTCTTGTTGGATTTGATTGGCGGCTGGCACTCCTCCTCGGCCTCCTCCTCCTCCTCCTCCGTAGAACTTTATAAAAACGGACCTTTTTACCGGATTTAGAGACTTTCGCGGGTTTTTTCTCTTCTCTTTCGCTCTCCGCGCTAAAACACTTCCGGGATCCAGGAGTCAAACTGAGCGGGAACTGTGCTGTGATTGGTGGATTTGGAGTTTGTGGGCGTGGAAATGGAGCAGGTGTGACAGAATGAACGAATGAAGGAAATGGTGATGAACGGGTGAAAAGGTAACAACACCAGTCTGATCCAGGTGTGTGTGTGTGTGTGTGTGTGTGTGTGTGTGTGTGTGTGTGTGTGTGTGTGTGTGTGTGTGTGTGTTTGTGCGTGCGTGCGTGCGTGCGTGCGTGCGTGTGTAGTATTGATCCTCTTGTTCATCATTAGACATCAGACAGACGACAATCTAATCTCTCCTCCTCTTTAACCTCACTCTCATCCTCTTCTTACTCCTCTCTCCTCCTTCTCTTATCCTCTCTCCTCCTTCCTCCTCCTCCTTCCTCTCCTCCTCTCTCTCCTCTTTCCTCTCTCCTCTTTCTCCTCCTCTCTCCTCCTCCTCCTCCTCCTCCTTCCTCTCTCCTCCTTCCTCCCCCTCCTTCCTCTCTCCTCCTTCCTCCTCCTCCTTCCTCTCTCCTCCTCTCTCCTCCTTCCTCCTCCTCCTTCCTCTCTCCTCCTATCTCCTCCTTCCTCCTCCTCTCTCTCCTCTTTCCTCTCTCCTCTTTCTCCTCCTCTCTCCTCCTCCTTCCTCTCCTCCTCCTCCCTCTCTCTCCTCCTTCATCCTCCTGTCTCTCCTCTCTCCTCCTTCATCCTCCTGTCTCTCCTCTCTCCTCCTCTCTTCTCCTTCCTCTCTACTCTTCTCTCCTCCTCCTCCTTCTCACCCCTTTAATTCATTCACTTTAGGGAGAGGAAGGAAGTGTGCATGGAAAGGAAAGAAGGAAGTAGGAAAGGAAAGAAAAGGAAGGAGGAGAGGAAAGGAAGGAAGGAAGGAGGAGGAAAGGAAAGGAAGGAGGAGAGGAAAGGAAAGAAAGAAATGAAGGTTTGATAAAAGAAAGTCAGAATCAAACAAATTGAGTCCTTTTAGTGGTATTTAACAGGTGTGTGTGTTTGTGTGTTTGTCTGTGTGTGTTTGTGTTTGTGTGTATCGTGTTGCTGTGTCTCTGAATTCTTATTGATTTTGACTTTTAAAGAAATAATGTGTGTTAATGAGATTTAGCTGCTCTACACACGTGTGTTCACACACACACACACACACACACACACACAAATACACACACAAGTTGTTGGTGTTTCATGAAAGAGTTTAACGTTGCATCAGATGGACTCATAACCTGCAGAGGTCTCTCTCTCTCTCTCTCTCTCTTTCATTTAATCTTTATTGACACAGGTACTCGTTGACATTGACACACACACAGACACACACACACAGGCGGTCTTTGTTTTGATTGACAGCTGTGTTTGTGTTTTTGTTGTTTGTTTATTGTTGTTTTTGTGTTAACGAGCTCTTAACGAGGCGTCTGTTAACGAGCTGATTGAAGCGTCTGTGTCTGATGATGTCATTGACGCCACCTTCAGCTCAGGTGTGTGTTTGTTGATGTGTTTGTGTGTTGCTTTCTAATGATTGCTCTGAGGTTGCTGGTTGCTCTCCTTGTAGGTCATCAGACAGTTTCAGTGATTTATGGTCTTTATTCATCAGTTTAAACCAGATCCTGTCCTAACTAAGACCTGTCCTAACTTAGACCTGTCCTAACTAAGACCTGTCCTCACTAAGATCCTGTCCTAACTAAGAACCTGTCCTAACTAAGACCTGTCCTAACTAAGACCTGTCCTAACTAAGACCTGTCCTAACTTAGACCTGTCCTAACTAAGACCTGTCCTAACTTAGACCTGTCCTAACTAAGACCTGTCCTCACTAAGATCCTGTCCTAACTAAGACCTGTCCTAACTCAGACCTGTCCTAACTAAGACCTGTCCTCACTAAGATCCTGTCCTAACTAAGACCTGTCCTAACTTAGACCTGTCCTAACTAAGACCTGTCCTCACTAAGATCCTGTCCTAACTAAGATCCTGTCCTAACTAAGACCTGTCCTAACTAAGACCTGTCCTAACTAAGACCTGTCCTCACTAAGATCCTGTCCTCACTAAGATCCTGTCCTAACTAAGACCCTGTCCTAACTTAGATCCTGTCCTAACTAAGACCTGTCCTAACTTAGACCCTGTCCTAACTAAGATCCTGTCCCAACTAAGACCCTGTCCTAACTTAGACCGGTCCTTAAGTCAGGAACAAACTCTCCCGATTAGTCTTTGCTGGTCTCTGATTGGCCCTCACACTGAGCCGGCCTGTGATTGGTTGGATGCTTGGCTGTGATTGGAGCCCTCAGGGTTACTTGAGGAGCACTTCCTGTTTGGTGACCTGTCCGTCATGAAATCAGCGTCTGATTGGTGAACCCTTCCTGAGCGGACAGAGAGACCTGACCCTCTGAGGTGTCCCTCAGGGTTCTGCTGTAGGTCCTCCAGACTTTTGTTCTCAGACTCTACAAGAACAAGTCTGTTTGAACCTTCTGTGGACACGGACTCACTGCAGGACAGCGCCTCGAGTGGTCATGAGAGGAACAGCAGATGACAAATAAAATTCACTTTCAGCCTCAGAGTTTAATCTGTGATCGACTCCGACCGAGAACGAGGAGAACAGGATTTCATCTGCAGAACAAAAACAGAGAGAGAGAGAGAGAGAGTCCATGACTGCACTCCTCCTCCTCCTCCTACTTGAGGGTTCAGAGGAGGAGGAGGAGGAGGAGAAGTTGTCTAAGTTCATTTAGCTGAAGAGAGCGCAGTGATGGACTCTTCATTATCTCATCTAATTATCTCCTCCTCCTCTCTTTTCACCACAGCCTGGAAATCCAGGACAAGACTCTCCAGGCCTGGAAAGACGTGTGTGTGTGTGTGTGTGTGTGTGTATGTGTGTGTGTGTGTGTGTGTGTGTGTGTGTGTGTGTGTGTGTGTGTCAGTGATTGACAGCTGACATTATGTTGTTTAGCAGTAAAATGTCAAACTCTGAATCTGCCTGTCGCTCAGTTTGACCCGGTCTGTCTGCAGGTGGGAGGAGCTGAGCGCCGTCAGACACACACACTGAACACACACACACACACTGAACACACACACACACACACACACAGAAGATGAAAGCTCTTCTAAACTTTGTAACTTGAACTCAGACTGAAACTCTGAGGGTTAAACTCTGTCAGGAGGTTTTTCTGGGGCAGAGGTCGCTGTCAGTCAGACTGAAGAGAAAACGAACGTTTATTTGACCGTCTGAAATTAAAAAGGTTCAGAGTTTGTTTGAGTTTAAAGCAGAAGACACTGTAAAAAAAACAACAGGAACCTCTTTAACAGAGCAGGAGTTCTGGTCCGATCCAAACATGGACCTCAGGCAGAACCTTGATGAACTGAACATGGTTTACTGATAAAAACAAACAAAAATAGAGTTATTATGATGATGATGATTATTATTATTATTGTTGTTGTTGTTGTTATTATTATTATCATCATTGTTATTATTATTGTTATCATTGTTATTATTATTATTATTATTATTATTATTATTATTATTATTATTATTATTATTATCATTATTATTATTATTATTATTTTATTATTATTGTTATTGTTGTTGTTGTTGTTGTTATTATTATTATTATTATTATTTTATTAGTATTTTTTTTATTATTATTATTATAATCATTATTATTATAATTATTATTATTATGATTATTATTATTATTATAATAACTTAAACACCATCAAAGCTGTTTTCTGTCAGTGGTGGGTTTAGTCCAGAGAGAGTTTCAGCCCGACTTTAAAAACAGGTTATTGATGAATCATCAGAATCATTAATAATCAGATCAGCAGAATAAAAACAGCTGTGACTTTAATAAAACAGAACGACCTGAAAACATGAATTCAGACTTTTTTAAACCCAAATATGTTCAAACTTAAATGATTCAAAGTTTCTTCATGAGGATGAAACTGATCAGATGTATTGATCTAAACTCTAATCAATAATTCTCAGGACGTTTACGATCAACTTTACCTTCAATTCAAAGAACTCACCTGAAAACTGACGTCAAAACACACCTGAGATAACAGCTGTGACACAACTAAACTGTGTGTGTTTGTGTGTGTGTGTGTGTGTGTGTGTGTGTGTCTGTGTGATAATGGCTGTTAATTAGCTTCTGTTCAAACCAGCTGTAAATTCTAATCATCAGAAAACAAGTTCATCGTTTGGTGTTAATGAAGGAGACAGGCCCGAACACGTCACACACACACGGATACCAACACACACACAAATACACACACACAAATACACACACAAATACACACACACGGTCAGTCTCTTTTCAATTAGTCTTTAACTTCTCTGTTAGTCTCTGTCCGTGTTGTCTCTCAGATTAAGTCTCTGTCTCAGATTTAGTCTCTGTCTCAGATTTAGTCTCTGTCTCAGATTTAGTCTCTGTCTCAGATTTAGTCTCTGTCCGTGGTTCTGAAGTCTCTCAGATTTATTTCTCTTTATTTGTTTTTGTTTTTTTAAACTTGTTTTATTTTGTTGTTTTAATCTCGTCTCTCATTAAACTCTCTCCTAATTAAAGTTCTTGAATATCAACATGTCGAACACATGCTGAGAACATGATTTCAACATGATTAAAACATCGTCAAAACACGAAGAACTGACATGTAAGGTCACACACACAACAAACACTCAGACTGTAAACACACACACACACACAGAGCGAGTCTGCAGACAAACAAACATGAGAGAAGAACACGCCAAGGACACGCTCAGAGCTCCTGGAGAACATCTGAAGAACACAGAGAGGAGCGTGTTGAGGACACGCCGTCTGACAGCTCCTCTAGTCCAATTACAGCAGAGGTCAAAGGGCGCGAATCATGCTAATCATGAGGCAGTGAGCCCTGTGTGTGTGTGTGTGTGTGTGTGTCTGTGATCATGTTCCCTATCTCTGTGAGGACCGAGCTTAGTCTTCTGTGTCTCTTTTCAGGAAATATTTACTTCGTCTGTGTGACGATGTTTTTATCTGAGTGTGTGTTTCTGTGTGTGTGTCTGTGTGTGTTTCTGTGTGTTTCTGAGTGTGTTTCTCCCTGAGGTGGAGGTTAACTCCACTGTGACGATCCGAACAAGTTTCAGGTCAGATTATCTGATCATGAATGAATGAATGAATGAATGAATGAGTGAGTGAATGAATGAAGTCTGTCACTGATATTTAAACGTCTTCATTCACGTTTTTCTCACTTTGACTAAAATCATGTTTGATTTTATATTTCATCAGCCATGGTGTGTGTGTGTGTGTGTGTGTGTGTGTGTGTGTGTGTGTGTGTTGTTGTTGTTGTTGTTGTCGTTGTTGTCGTTGACTTTGTTCTGCTGTATTTGTGAGGACCTGATGATCTCTCACTGACTTCACATGAACCCCGTCAGGCTCAGACTGATTGATCCCTGATTGATCCCTGATTGATTTGAACTCAAAGATCATGAACGGTGAATATTCAGTGTTTGTCTCTGCAGTCTCTCAGCTGTTGATGTTGGTTTAATGGTTCACAGAGACCAGGTTTTAGTCTGTACCTGAGTGTGTGGTTCACAAAGACCAGGTTTTAGTCTGTACCTGAGTGTGTGGTTCACAAAGACCAGGTTTTAGTCTGTACCTGAGTGTGTGGTTCACAAAGACCAGGTTTTAGTCTGTACCTGAGTGTGTGGTTCACAAAGACCAGGTTTTAGTCTGTACCTGAGTGTGTGGTTCACAAAGACCAGGTTTTAGTCTGTACCTGAGTGTGTGGTTCACAGAGACCAGGTTTTAGTCTGTACCTGAGTGTGTGGTTCACAAAGACCAGGTTTTAGTCTGTACCTGAGTGTGTGGTTCACAAAGACCAGGTTTTAGTCTGTACCTGAGTGTGTGGTTCACAAAGACCAGGTTTTAGTCTGTACCTGAGTGTGTGGTTCACAGAGACCAGGTTTTAGTCTGTACCTGAGTGTGTGGTTCACAAAGACCAGGTTTTAGTCTGTACCTGAGTGTGTGGTTCACAGAGACCAGGTTTTAGTCTGTACCTGAGTGTGTGGTTCACAAAGACCAGGTTTTAGTCTGTACCTGAGTGTGTGGTTCACAAAGACCAGGTTTTAGTCTGTACCTGAGTGTGTGGTTCACAGAGACCAGGTTTTAGTCTGTACCTGAGTGTGTGGTTCACAGAGACCAGGTTTTAGTCTGTACCTGAGTGTGTGGTTCACAAAGACCAGGTTTTAGTCTGTACCTGAGTGTGTGGTTCACAGAGACCAGGGCTGTGTCCGAAATGGCCTACTACTCCTACTACTCCTACTAACCCCGCCTCTGAATTGAGTAGGCAGTGCGTTCACACTGTACAGTATGCGAATTTTGTGTATGCGAGAAATGCCCGGATGTATACTCAATCGGCTTCGATTTCTGAGTGTGCAACGGAGCTTGCTTCACGTACTGCTTCTGCCCCACAATGCATTGCGCACCTCAGCTGGTAATATGGCCCTCCTTCCCGAGGCTGAAAAGAAATAGATGGCATGTGATTGCAATAATAATGATATATATATATATATATATATATATATAAATAGATAAACAATATTTAGTCCGTATACATTACACAATTTTCATCATTTTATCATATTTTGATCTTTTTACCGGATTTATTTGTATTTTAAATTAGGATTATAGGCAATGTTTTTAACTATTCGTATGAATTGACTTTATTTATTTAAGTGTCTATTAAAGATGTATTTATTACATCAAGTTTGAGCATCTTCTCATCTCTGAATGCATCATCAAAGTGGTCGCTCATATTAAGCACAGACCTCTGATTAATAAAAATTATCTTTGGTAGAGAGCACATGGTTCAGAATATACAAACGGGGGAGTTTCCAGTTGACAATCTCTGTGAGCTTTACTAATTCTTACTTGTGATTGAAAATCTGATGGTTTCTGAAATTATCATTGTACATGAAAAGAATGTAGTCGGGAAATGATGTATTTGCCAAGGAATAACCGAACAAGGTCATAATAATTATGTTGTGTGTTGGTCATTTTGCAGCCCTCTGCTGCTCATCACACGCCTAGCAGGTGGTGTATAGCATTATCACCATGGATACACGGATGTTTGTGTGATTTTTTTCATCCACTGCCGCCCGGTTTGTGTCGTGTAGATGTTGATTATGAAAACACTTCGCAATAATTTGGAAACGTGAAGGGGGAGCTGCTGCTGCCCGGTGTTTACGGTAAATAGACGCAAACACCGACCAAGCGGACGCTTCGGTCTCCGAAAACGCCGAGACAAATTTACAAACAGCCACTATTTCAAACAACTGGGCTCATAATCGTGATGTAAACACTTACTTTCTCGCTAGAAAAAAATATTATTATTGAATGAATTTATATAATTTGTCCGGGATGCAGTCGTTCTGTGTGGCTTGTGGTAGGACTATTTAAATTTTCCCAGCGCTGCGTCCGGCCGGCACGAAATGCATTCTGGGGTATTTAGTATGTATGTGTGTAAACGCTCGGGCAGCCGCGGCATACTCAAATCATCTTTGAGTAGTCAGTAGGCAGTAGCTACTGCTTGAGTAGGTAAGTAGATAGTAGGCAGTATGCCATTTCGGACACAGCCCAGGTTTTAGTCTGTACCTGAGTGTGTGGTTCACAAAGACCAGGTTTTAGTCTGTACCTGAGTGTGTGGTTCACAAAGACCAGGTTTTAGTCTGTACCTGAGTGTGTGGTTCACAAAGACCAGGTTTTAGTCTGTACCTGAGTGTGTGGTTCCTCCGTCCCCTTCAGCCTGTTTCTGATCCCCTCATAGATCTGATGTCATTAAACGCTCGTTAACCTTCATCATCTCTTCAGTCGGCTCCGGGTGAAAGAAGCGGGTTTGGGTTCGATTCTCTTAAATATCATGTTTTCTTCATGTTTTCATCCATGAGGCGCTGATGTTTGAGTCCTACACATGTCAGCGGAACCTTCTTCTTCTTCTTCTTCTTCTTCTTCTTCTTCTTCTTCTTCTTCTTCTGTCTGCTGGTTCTGTGTTTGGTCCAGTTTAGTCTTCTGGTTCTGGTTCTGGTTCTGGTTGAACTCAGACTTTATGGTTTTTTGTTCAGTTCAGGAAATCCTGGACTAGACCGGTTCACTATGAATACACACACACACACACACACACACACACACGCACACACACACACACACACAGACACACACTGACTGTGGCAGTACATTATCGTCACTATAATTCCTCCTCACACTCTGACTACATTTTCTACTTCACAGAGCAGATTAACTCCAGAGCAGAGTGTCACAGTGTGTGTGTGTGTGTGTGTGTGTGTGTGTGTGTGTGTTAAGTGTCAGTAAGTGTGTGTGTGACTTTCATTCTTCCTGGATATAAATTTGTGATGCGTCCTAATTTCCTGCTCGTAAATATGAGCAGTAATGGAGTGTGTGTGTGTGTGTGTGTGTGTGTGTGTGTGTGTGTGTGTGTGTGTCTGTGTGTGTGTGTGTGTGTGTGTGTGTGTGCTCATCACAGAACAAATTGAAAGCTCCGCCTGTCCTGTGTGTCGATTTACGACCGCGATCAAAGGAAACAAGGAGAGGAGATAGGAAAGGAGTTAAGACAGGAGTTAGGACGGAGGATTAAGGAGGTGAAGAGGACATAAACTCAGTCTGAGTGTCTAAAGAAACATTTTTACCTGGTTACCATGGCGATAGGTCACTGTGTGTTTCCGTGTGTGCTGTTGATCAAAGGTCAGAGGTCAAGTGTGAGGTTATCTAACGTCAAAGAAACGTCAGCCAATCAGAGAGCTGGAAACTCCGAGTTTAAAAACCCAGAATCCACTCAGACCTGTGGGAGCGTCAGCTCAGCGGTCAGAGACGTTTGAACAGATTTTAGTTTCAGTTTCAATTCTTGATTTTTGTTTCTGCTCCATGAAAAACCTTTAAACAGCGTCCTGACTGAGCCGGGGTTAGACCGTCAGAACAATAATAATAATAATAATAATCATAATAATACTAATAATAATAATAATAATAATAATAGTGTTAATGGTCCTCACGGTCCTCTCGGTCCTCACGGTCGCGGTGTTTCTGCTTCCCTCTCAGTTCGTCTCTTCTGCTGATTCTCTGTTTGTTTGTTTGTTTGTTTGTTTAAACAGCATCTGTTCACTGTTTCCTCTGTGTGTGTGTGTGTGTGTGTGTGTGTGTGTTAGTGTCAGCACTTTGTCCTTCTGTAGGCTCATTAGAGACAGGCAGCAAAGCATGCTGGGTAATCGATACTGCAGAGACCCTCAGAGACCAAAAAAACTCACTTTTGTCTTTTTGTCCTTCTCTTTGTGTGTGTGTGTGTTTACAACCCGTTTCCATGGAAACCACCGATGCCTTAAAAGCAGAGGATGCGCACACACACACACACACACACACACACACACACACACACACACGTCCTCCCCGTGGACACAGACAGAGAGCTGGAGTGACGGGCTGAGCTCAGTGTTAAACTGTGTAACATCAGAGGAGGGGTGTGTGTGTGTGTGTGTGTGTGTGTGTGTGTGTGTGTGTGGGTGGGGGGGGGGTTAACCTGATTCTAATATGAAGGTGTGTGTGTGTGTGTGTGTGTGTGTCTAATAAACACAGAGTGAGGAGGTTCACAGAGAGAGAGAGTCCTGTTCTCAGATCAGGGTTTGGTTTCTCTGCAGCTGCTCTTCTCTCTGTTCTTTGTCTTCTCTGCTTCATCCCTCCATCTCTCCTGGGAGACGACAAGAGCAGAGAGAGAGAGAGAGAGAGAGAGAGAGGAAGGGAGTGTGAGTGTGTGTTTTTGTGCCAGAGTGTCCTGTACACACACACTCAGTGTGAAACATGTTAACAGAACAGAGTCAGAGGAACGTCTGAGAGACAGAAACAGAGAGAGGAAGAGGAAGAGGAGGAGGAGGAAGAGGAGGAGGAGGAGGAGGAGGAGGAGGAGGAGGAGGAGGAGGAGGAGGAAGAGGAAAAGGAGGAAGAGGAGGAGGAGGAAGAGGAGGAGGAGGAGGAGGAGGAGGAGGAGGAGGAGGAGGAGGAGGAGGAGGATGATGATGATGATGAGGATGATGATGATGATGGTGATGATGATGATGATGATGGTGATGAGGAAGATGAAGAGGATGATGATGATGATGATGATGATGATGATGATGATGATGATGATGATGATGATGTTAATACTGTGAGGTCATATTTCGATCAGGAAACAGCTGCTGATTGGCTCAGACTCTGTTTCTTGTTTTAATTTCTTTGTTTTTCGTTGATCATAAATAAAAAACTCAAACTGACTCGGAGTTGAAGGAGCTGAAGGATTAAAAACAGAGACGGTGAAACTGTGAGGGTCTAAACTAGAACAGACCCAAAGACAGGAGACTTTTAAAGGTCTTCATCGTCTTACAGGAGACGACACAAAAATCCACAAACTAACAGAAACCTGTGCAGCTGCTGGGGGGGGGGGCGGCTGACCACCGATCTGACCGAGGGTACAGGAGAGACGGAGGTCAGAGGAGGGCGAGTCAGAGTGATCTGACGGAGGAGAGGAGGTTTTTATGGAGAGGTGATTACAGAGCGCCGTCAGGTGTGTCCCGCTGCATTCAGCCTGAAGGTAGGTTGGCCACGCCCCCCAACCACAGCGGGCACTGGTGACGAGAAACAGGAGACGTCTAAACACGACGCTGCCCAAAACAAAACAGAAACATCGGAACAGAAACATCGGAACAGAAATATCGGAACACGGAGCAGAACAAACTCGTTTAAACTTCTGTCTTGTTCTCAGAGTTTCTCTGACGATTCGACTGTTTTTACTGTGACACTGACTGAACTCATCAAAACACACAACTGAACCTTTACTACTGTCTGTGTGTCTGTGTGTGTGTGTGTGTGTGTGTGTGTGTGTGTGTGTGTGTGTGTGTGTCGCTGTGTGTGTCTGTGTGTGTGTGTGTGTGTGTGTGTGTGTGTGTGTGTGTGTGTGTGTGTGTGTGTGTGTGTGTGTGTGTGTGTGTGTGTGTGTGTGTGTGTGTGTGTGTGCAGGTTCTTCCTGAAGTTCTTCCTGAAGTGTAACCAGAACTGTCTGAAAAACGCCGGAAACCCGCGAGACATGAGGAGGTTCCAGGTAACACACACACACACACGAACACACACACACAGACACACAGACACACAGACACACACACACACACACACACAGAGACACACACACACACACACAGACACACACAGACACACACACACACACACTTACAGATGAATTCATTTCCCCAAAGGGCAGGATGTGACAGTGGGGGACCTGGAGTTCCCATAATGCACTGCAGCAGGGCGGCCTCAGGCTTATTGCTTTGCAGATATAATATGAGAGGTCAACAGGGAGCTGTCTGTCCCCGCCTCTGTCCCGCCTGTCTCACCGTCTCGCCGTCTTCTTGGTTCGTCTAAAACATGTTCGTATTTCGACCTCAGACTTCGGAGAAAAAACAAAAAAAGAAGAAAAACAGGAACGATGTGAGAAATTTGACGATGTTTGAATTTGAGGAAAACGTGATGGGGGGTCGGGGGGGTTAAACTGCTCCTCTTTGTCTCACAGCAGCCATATTTCTGCTGTCACACACACACACACACACACACACACACACACACACACACTCTCTCTCTCCACGCTGTGTTGGGCGAGCTGACAGGATGTTTCGTCCAGTTAAGGTGGGGGAGGGCGGGGGGGTTAGATGAGTGAGACAGGTGAAGTCAGGTGAAGCCTCGGACTCGTCTGTGGTTGTCGTGGTGACAGCAGGGTGAGGGATGTGCTGGTTAGTCACCGTGGCGACAGAGACGACACCTATACCTGCTCCGGTGACCTCCTGCTCCGCCGCCATGGATCAACAGCAACAACCTCGCCACACCAACCAGCCGGGGATGATGAATGGCTGACCCTGAGAGGGGCGGTGACATCACAGGGGGCGGGGCTACAGAGGAGAGGATAGTGACAGACGGCACAGATCCGAGAAAACATGTCGAAGACGACAGATCGATGGTTCAGATTATACTGATTAAATAATCCTGATTAAAAAAACCTGATTTAATAATCCTGATTAAATAATCCTGATTAAAAAAACCTGATTTAATAATCCTGATTAAATAATCCTGATTAAACAAACCTGATTTAATAATCCTGATTAAATAATCCTGATTTAATAATCCTGATTAAATAATCCTGATTTAATAATCCTGATTTAATAATCCTGATTAAATAATCCTGATTTAATAATCCTGATTTAATAATCCTGATTAAACAAACCTGATTTAATAAACCTGATATTTTTTTAACATTTAAGAGTCAAAGAGGACAGATCTGTGGTTCAGATTATACTGATGAAATAATCCTGATTAAAAAAACCTGATTTAATAATCCTGATTAAAAAAACTGATTTAATAATCCTGATTAAAGAAACAGATTTTTAAGAGTCAAAGAGGACAGATCTGTGGTTCAGTTTTTCCAACTTTAGCTTTTTTATTCAAAGTTTCTAAGAATTAAATTTTTGTTTTTCAGTTTCACCTTTTAGATAAACTTTTTTTTATCAGCTCGTCTGTTTTTTAAAGTCATTTCTAAAATTCCCCGAGTTTGTTTTTTTTTAGACAATCTTTTGTTCAGAACAAAAACAGTCTGATGTCTGATCAAACTGAAATTCACACCAAGCGTCTCATTGGCTGAAGGACTGTCATGTGACACAGAGTTTGTTTTTTCAGGTGGTGGTGTCAACAACAGTCAACGTAGACGGACATGTTCTCGCCGTCTCTGACAACATGTTTGTTCACAACAACTCCAAACATGGCCGACGCGCCCGGAGGCTGGACCCATCTGAAGGTAGGCGGGGCTTAATGTGTGTCAGCCAATCAGAGGAAGACAGACTTATAGACAATGTAAGATAAAACAGAGCAGGACCCGGATCAGAACCCTGAGGAACTTTAAACACAAGGTTTTCAATTGGGACGCCATGTTGAACCTGAAGAGATGAGATAAACATCTTCACAATCACCATCATCACCATCATCTTCATCATCAGATGGTAACATAGATGTATAGATATATAGATATATAGATGTATAGATGTATAGATGGAGGAACTCGTCTGTCCTCGTTCGGCTCTGAAGTCATGATAAAGTAAAACAGGAGAGAGGCTGTAAAATCAACTCAAGTCTTCATGAGGAGATTAACTGCTCACACACACATACATGCACGTGCACACACACACACACACACACACACACACACACACACTGCTTTCATTTCACTTTATAATTAATCTGCAGACGCTCTTGAAAGGCGAGAGAGAAGTAGTCATTACCGGCTGCTGAGTGTGTGTGTGTGTGTGTGTGTGTGTGTGTGTGTGTGTGTGTGTGTGTGTGTGTTTGGACTAAACTAAAGCGGATAAAAGCCACAACCCAATTAAATCACATTCTCAGAATGTGTGTTTCAGTGTGTGTGTGTGTGTGTGTGTGCGTGTGTGTGTGTGTGTGTGTGTGTGTGTGTGTGTGTGTGTGTGTGTGTGTGTGTGTGTGTGCGTGTGTGACCTGCAGTCAAGTTAAAACCTCTTTACAGGGTTTTCTGCTGATTCTGGACCCTCAGAGGGTCAAAACTGAGTCTGTGAATAAAGAAAAATTTTCTATAAACTCAGAGTCAGATTAAATAATCCTGATAAAGGAATCCTGTTTAAGTAATCCTGATTAAATAATCCTGATTAAATAATCCTGAGTATATAATCTGAGTTTATCTGATCCAGACGTTGGGAGTTCAGGTTCAGAGGACTCAGAGATGAAGTACTCTCTGTAGTATTAGTACTCTGAACAGCATCAGATGAAGTATTTATACTTTCCTGATCAGGTCAAGATTTTCTGTTCAGAGAAATTAAGAGTCTGTGAGTCCAATTATATAATAATATTAATAACAGTGTCTCTCTGTCTCTCTCTCTCTCTTCCGTCTCTCTCTCTCTCCCTCTCTCTCTCTCTCCCTCTCTCTTCCGCCTCTCTCTCTCTCCCTCTCTCTCTCTCTCTCTCTCTCTCTCTCTCTCTCTCTCTCTCTCTCTCTCTCTCTCTCTCCCTCTCTCTCTCTCTCCGTCTACGTGTCCTCGCCGCGTCCCGGCGTCCAGCAGCCACGCCCTGTATCAAAGCCATCAGTCCCAGTGAGGGTTGGACCACAGGCGGCGCCACCGTCATCCTGATCGGGGATAACTTCTTTGACGGTCTTCAGGTGGTCTTCGGGACCATGCTGGTGTGGAGCGAGGTAACCGACCCTGATGGAGGTCACATGATCAGTTCAGAGGTCACAGATGTTTCAGACCGGGTCTTTGAAGGACTTTCATAGACATAGACATAATACACATAGATGCCTCACAGACTGACGCTGCCTATTGGAGCTGACATATCAGCACAGCCGCCATCTTGGAGGGAATACCTGAGACCCCAGCATGGAATTAGGCATCTAGGTAGATTATGTCTATTTTATATCTGTAGGTCAAACAGTACAACTGACCTTTGACCCCTCTGATCATAGACCGCTCTCACCCTCAGCTCATATCCCATCTGTTAACATGGAGGAGGCGGGGTTTATCAGCTGTACTGCAGACTGTCAGCAGGGGGAGCTCTGACTGTTTTAACCTCTAACACACCTGTCTGCCCCTCCCCCCCAGCTGATCACCCCTCACGCCATCCGGGTTCAGACCCCGCCCCGTCACATCCCCGGGGTCGTCGAGGTCACATTGTCCTACAAGTCCAAACAGTTCTGCAAGGGAGCGCCGGGACGCTTCGTCTACACAGGTAACACACCTGAGGACCGCCGCAGAGGTTCGAATTGGCCCCGCCCCCGTCTCCTTCTCCTTCCTGATGTGTCCTCTCTCCTTGTCTCCTCTCTGTCCTTCCTTCCTTCCCTCCTCTCCTCTGCAGAGGTGTTTCATTTCACACTAATTACACACATTTAAATCCCATTAACCCTCAGACACACACACACACACACACACACACACACACACACACACACACACACACAGCTCTGTACGTGTCAGCGTGATGTCATCAGTCACATGACCTCCAGCCTCCTACAGCAGCTGTTTTCACGCCTCACTGCGTAGCCCTGCTCCCCCGCACTCCCAGCATGCTTTGCTCAAATTCATTTACAGAGAGAGTGGAGAGGGGGCGGAGTCAGAGCGGGTTACCTAGGTAACCTAAATATACCACATTCAGGTCAGTCTGCATGATCCTGGTCCTGGTTCTGATCATACTGATGATTCCTTTGTTTAAACCCCTGATTCTGGATCAGGATCTGATGTTTAAACCCAAACCGGATCAGAACCAGGATCCGCTGTTAGAGTGTTCAGTTCCTCAGCTGTCCTCCAGGGGCGCCGTTAACCACATACACGCTCATTAAAAAAAGCAAAAATCCGATTGGACCTGAACGCCTCGTTTCTCTCTGTTGTCACATGTTCAAGTTAATCAAGTCACAAGATCAGCCAATCAGAGGCAGAGCTGACCTGATTGACAGGCGGCTCAGTTCTTTACTGTTTAGCAGTAAAACAGGAACAGATCACCGGACCACCAGAACGTAAAAAACCAACATCAAAATCAGCAATACTGTCACAAGAGCTCAGAGCAATAAAATGGAAAAAATAATAATAATAATTTAAAAATAAGTTAAAAAAAAACAATGGAAATAATTTAAAATTAATAAATCAAAAAACCAAAATTATTTTTCAAAAAGTAAAAAATTTAAAAAAACATTATAAAACAAAAAACAATAAAACAAATTTAAAAATTAAATCAAATAAAAATCAAACAACAATAATTTTAAAAAAAAAAAAACAAAAAGCAACAATAATACTAAAAAATATGAAAAATACAATTAATTAATTTAAAAAATAAAACATAAAACAATAAAAATAATTTTAAAAAATAAGAAAACAAAAATAATTTAAAAAAGGAGAACAAAAAAAAGAATAATTTTAAACAATACATAAGATAATTAAAATAACTGTTGTCCTTTTGGTCACTAAACTGCTGCCCAGAATGGAGAAGAACACATGATCATCGCTGGATTTGTCGAATGTATATTTGTTCACACACTGTGGCTGTTGGCGAGGAGGCTGAAGGCCCGCCTCTGATAGGTCGACTGAAAATTAGGCTGAGTCAGCATTTCTTATCGGCTTCAGAACTTAACGTCTGATGATGAACAGGAGAGTTTACAGGTGGACAGGAAGTGAAGATGAACCTTTAATGAAGAGGTCAGTCCCTTCACAGTCTTTGGACCCGTGTTCACCTTTAGTGGCGCTGCGGCCGAGCGACTCATTCTGCTGCTGCACAGACAGACTCACAGAATCACAACCAGTATTGATGGAGACGTATTGATCAGTGTCTGAGCTGACACACACACACACACACACACACACACACACACACACACACACACACACACACACACACACACACACACACACACACACACACACACACACACACACACACACACACACACACACACACACACAGTGAGGATTTTCAGTATGAAAACACTGAGAAGTGGGCGGGACTACATTTCCCATCATCCTCAGCTGTTGGAGCTCCTGTCAGACTGACCACGTCTTCATTAACGCCCTCTCAGTCACAGTGCATGCTGAGTAAATTCCTCCAGCTGTTTCCATGGCGATGATGCTCAGAGTTATTGATCAGCTCAATATTCAGTCTGACGCTCATCGTCAAAGCCAACTAACCAATCAGAGTAACAGAGGAGGTGAAAGGTCAATAACATGAATCATCCGTCAGTACGGTTTTAGAGTCTTTGAAAGGGTGACTGTCTGAGACAGCTGTAAGGTTCTGGTTCTGGTTCAATCTGGTGGACTCTGACCCGTGGTTGAAAACCTGCGAACATGAGTCCTACCTGCAGAGGTAAACCTGAAGGACCAATCAGAGCGCAGGGTTACAGTGACATCAGCTGAGGGGAGGAGTTTCAACTGATGAGGACAAGAGGAGAGACAGAGAACGGCTCAGAGTGACCCAGAAACACACACACACACACACACACACACACACACAGCTGACAATAAACACAAGGTCACACACACAGAAACACACAAACACTCCGACACACACACACACACACACACACACACACACACACACACTGAAGGAGCGCTGAAGATAACACAGACATCCTCAGAGCGAACACACACTCTGATAACTGCTGCTTGTTACGCCCTGTGAGCCTTCAAGGACTGAACACACACACACACACAGACACACACACACACACACACACACACACAGACACACACACACACTCATGTTGTTTGTGATGTATAGGAGAGTCAGTCTAAAGCTTGTTAAACACAGCTGAACCAAGACGGGATTATGATTCATGCTCCTCACACACACACACACACACACACACACACACACACACACACACACACCCTCTGTGCTCTGCTGCGTTCACTGGCGCTCAGATTTATCGGCTCTCAGTTTAAACAGTGTCAGAGCTCCTGAAGATAAAACTCGCTCTGATTGGACGGTTCATCTGTCAGTCAAACACAAACTTCATATTTTATAGATTTATATTCAAATGGACCTGAAACCTGTTTGTTCATGAGGATTAAAATGTTGAATATAGACGCTCAGATTAAATCTTCACACACTGAAGTTCACTGAGGGACCAGAGGGGGCGCTGTTGTTGAAAACACTCCAACCTGCCGTGGAAACATGAACCCACTTACGCTCTCCTCTCATAGTCTTTACAATCCTGGTTCTGACCCGGTTGGAGTGTAAACAGGATAGTCTGGTTCACCTGCACAGGTACCACAGGAGAGGGTCTGGGTCCAGTCTTTGGTTCTGAAAGAGTTCATGATGAAGTGGACTTTAGAGAACTCATCAACATGCTGATCGGTTCAGACCGTCTATAACACATACGGATCAGAACCAGGGTCAGAACCAGGGTCAGAACCTTGGAGACACACGGATCAGAACCAGGGTCAGAACCTTGGAGACACACGGTTCTGTTCATTCAGGTTTCAAAGTTCTGGTTTCAAACCCGGCCTCTGATTGGTTCCTCTCTCCTCCTCAGCCTTAAATGAACCAACCATAGACTACGGCTTCCAGAGGTTACAGAAGGTCATCCCCCGTCACCCCGGAGACCCCGAGAGACTGCCCAAGGTACCACACACACACACACACACACACACACACACACACACACACACACACACACACACACACACACACAGACACAGAGTGTTGTTTAAACACAGACAGCCTCTGATTGGTTGTTTTTTCTGCTGTTTTTCCATCAGTCTGTTTTCTGCTCGGCTGCTCAGATTATCATCAGCTGCATCTCCTGATTCTGCTGTTTGTACATTTACTGCTGTCTCTTTAACACACACACTCACACACACACACACACTCACACACACACACACACACACACACACACACACACACACACACACACACACACACACACACACTCAGAGTCTGTGTGTGTTACAGACACACACGTCGTTTCTTTATCAAACTCTGTTTCTGTTTGTAGTTTTTCATTTTCTCTGTGATTTTATTTTTGATCTTTAGGTTTTTATTTCCACTTCTTCTTCTTCTTCTTCTTCTTCTTCTTCTTCTTCTTCTTCTTCTTCTTCTTCTTCTCTTCCTTCTCTTCCTTCTCTTCCTCTTCTTCTTTCTCCTCTTCTCTTTTTCTTCTTCTCTTCCTTCTCTTCCTCTTCTTCTTTCTCCTCTTCTTCTTCTTCTTCTTCTCTTCCTTCTCTTCCTCTTCTTCTTTCTCTTCTTCCTTTTCCCTTGCTCAGTCTTTCCCTCTCCTTGTTGTTTTCATTGACAGTGTTTCCTAATCTCTAATTAGACCAGGTTCGTTCAGATTAACTTAATCTGAGATTACGGGGATTTGAATAAATCTGACTCTGAAGTTTTTGGTATTTTCGTCATTTTGAATCACAGAATCTGAGTTTATTTCTAAATATTGATCCAGATAGTTCCGACTTCAGGGACCGTCTGCAAACTGACTCAGTCTGCTCAGGAGAAAAAAACGATCCCTTAAATTCTGCTGATCCGATCAGAGACGGCCTGGTCGGATTAAGGGGAACTATTTTAGTACAACAAAGAACTACAGAGTACTTCAGAGAACTACAGAGTACTTCAGAGTACAACAGAGTACCAGTCAGAGTACTTTAGAGTACAACAGAGTACTCTGACTGGTACTGTAGTGGAAACAGAACTTTACTGTGGTGGAGTATTTTCTTCATCACAGACGGTTCTGAGGAGGACTGAGGCTACAACCAGAACCTGAACCTGAGTCTGTGTCTGAGAGGGTCTTCAAAGTTCTGTTTCTAAACCCGTCCAGAAAGAACCGAAACCAAGAAAAGACCTCAGACTGAAATCAGGAGGAGAAGAAGGAGGAGGAGAAGAAGAAGGAGGAGGAGGAGAAGAAGGAGGAGGAGGAGGAAACTGTAAATATCTGCTGTCAGTGGACCAATCAGAGTTCATGTCTTTACTCTTTTAGAAGGTAGAAATTAGGCTCCGCCCACAAACCTTAAGGTTCAGGAGGAATTACAGGTCAGACTGTCACTCAAACTGACCAATCAGAGAGCGAGTCAGACACACACACAGACACACACAAACACACACACACACACACACACACACAGACACACACACTCACACACACACACACACACACACTCACACACACACACAAGCGCTTTCACTTTTAATTCAATCATTTCTGAAATGTGTGAGTGTGTGTGTGTGTGTGTGTGTGTGTGAGTGTGTGTGTGTGTGTGTGTGTGTGTGTGTGTGTGTGTTTGTAAAGCCTGTTGGCAAACATGGAGGTTGAAACAGTCAAATCAGGTAATCAGCGAGTGCAGCCATGTGGCAAGAAATGAGATTGGCGCACACACACACACACACTCACACACACACTCACACACACACTCACACACACACACACACTCACACACTCACTCACACTCACACATTCACACACACACTCACACTCACACACTCACACACACACTCACACTCACACACTCACTCACACACACACACACACTCACACACACACTCACACTCACACACTCACACACACTCATACACACTCACACACACACACACACCCTCCGCTGTGATTATCAGTGTTTTCTTATCAGATTTGTAAAAAGTCGCTGAGTCTGTTTTTACTGTTTTATTCTGACGTCGCTGCTGAAGAGCAGGAACTGAAGACCCAGTTCAGGTTCTGTGAACCCGGACTAGACTCGGGTCTGACCGGGTCTCAGTCTGGGTCTCGGTCTGGGTCTCAGTCTGGGTCTACAGCGGACCCCTCCGTGTGTTTATGAAGCAGTGAAGTGTCCGTGTTTACTTCCTGGTCTCTTAAACACCTCAGAGGTCGTTCACCTGAAAATCAACCACAGACTCTTTCCTGTTTTCATCCAATCAGAGGGAAGTCTGAAGGAGTGACAGGTTAACTCCTCCCACCTGAGGAACCTTTGGATTAGTTGTATCAGGATTCTCTGTTTCTGTTCTTCCTCCTGTGATGAAGGTGATGGAACCGTCGGGGGGCGGAGGTTAGGCAAACAAGGGGGCGGGGTTAATTGCTGGATCAGCAAGGGGGCGTGGCCTGGCATTGAAGTAGGGGTGGAGTTAATTGAAAGGCTTCAGTTGAAGTCGTTAATGAAAAGCAGCAGATTAACGGAGAGTGTTTAATTAAGATAAAGACGCACTGAAGCAGAGGGCTGCTGCTGCACCTGATTACACACACAGACACACAAACACAGACACACACAGAGACAGAGACACACAGACAGACACACACACACACAGAGTGACAGAGACACACACACACACATACACACACAGAGACAGAGACAGAGACACACACACACACACAGACACAGAGACAGAGACACACACACACACACACACAGTGACAGAGACACACACACACACACACACACACACACACAGAGACACACACAGAGACACACACACACACAGAGAGACACACAGAGACACACACACACACACACAGAGACACACACACACACACACAGAGACACACACACAGACACACACACACACAGAGACAGAGACACACACACAGAGACACACACACACACACACAGAGACACACACACAGACACACACACACACAGAGACAGAGACACACACACAGAGACACACACACACACACAGACACAGAGACACACTCAGAGCTGTTTGTTCGACACTAAGTGATCATTGAAATGAAGTGGTTCAGAGTGTGTGTGTGTGTTCTTGTTGAGGTGTAACTGAGCTCCTTTAAATCCATCAGGAGGACACACACACACAGTCTGTGTGTGTCTGTGTGTGTGTGTGTGTGTGTTTGTTCACAGGTAGATTAAAACTCAGGTGAGCTTCAGACCTCCTCTCTGAGACCAGGTTCAGGTTTTTACTGTTTGTGTCTCTGGTCACATGATCACACTGCCCCCCCCCCCACACTCACAGACACACACAGACACACACACACACGAATCCATCTGTTCATCCTCCTTCTCTCTCCTGCAGGAGGTGCTGTTAAAGAGAGCAGCTGACCTGGTGGAGGCGCTCTATGGAATGCCCCATAACAACCAGGTAAGGTCTGTCCACCTGTCCACCTGTCCACCTGTCCACCTGTCCATCTGTCCATCTGTCCATCTGTCCACCTGTCCATCTGTCCACCTGTCCATCTGTCCATCTGTCCACCTGTCCATCTGTTCACCTGTCCATCTGTCCATCTGTCCACCTGTCCATCTGTTCACCTGTCCATCTGTCCACCTGCACACCTGTCCACCTGTCCACCTGCACAGAGGCCTCAGGTAGCTGCTGGTTTGAAGTCTTCAGTCTCGGTCTGGTCCATGACTTCAGAGACGTTCTCTGGTCACATGATCATTTCCACACTAACCTCACACCGTCACGTCTCAGCCTCCCAGTATCAGCTTCTACTAATGATCAGATCTATGATCCTGTACAAAACAGAACGACATCACGCCAGATATGAGAGGAGATGATATATGATAAAATTCATGTGAGATAAGATGATATATGATAAGATTGAGATGAGCTGATCTATGATAACCCTGAGATGAGACGTCTGCAGTGAGACGTCTGCAGTGAGACGTCTGCAGTGAGACGTCTGCAGTGAGACGTCTGCAGTGAGACGTCGTCTCCCGTCGCTCCGTTCTCTTTGTCTCCATCAGGAGTTTGTCGTAGACTCAGTTCCAGTCAAACTAAAGTCAGATCTTCACTGACCTTCACTCAAACATGTAAACAGGAGATTTTCTGACTTTCTTGTAAACATTATAGTAAACATATTTCCCATAATGCTCAGCGGGCAGGACGTCCCCCACCCGCCGCAGGTTTATGACTCAGAACCTCCTGAAACACCGAAACACTTTATATTCACTCCATCCTGCTCCTGAACGCTCCCCGACACGCTCCCACACCCACAGTTAATCAGCCTAAACACACACACTCGAACACACACACACACACTGTGGGAGAGGACTCTAATACACACTGACACACACTGACACACACTGACACACACTGACACACACAAAGAGCAGCTCTGGTGGATTGTAGAGTAACCTTGAACAGAGGTTGCAAACAAATGTAAATTCAACTGTATTAACAAGAATTACTGTGTGTGTGTGTGTGTGTGTGTGTGTGTGTGTGTGTGTGTGTGTGAGTGTGTGAGTGTGTGTGTGTGTGTGTGTGTGTGTGTGTGTGTGTGTGTTTGACTCTGTGTGTTTCCTGACACATGCTCTCCTCTTGTGTGTTTTGATGTGACTCAGAAACATGAATCTTTGCCTGATAGGTGAACAGACTGTGTGAGTGTGTGTGTGTGTGTGTGTGTGTGTGTGTGTGTGTGTGTGTGTGTGTGTGTGTGTGTGTGTGTGTGTGACTGAGAGTTGGTTCAGCTTTCATTGAAAAGAGTTTACAGAGTTTTAAAATCATTTTAAATCTGTTTATATTATATTCAGTGTTGAACCTCCACAGTGTCGACGTGTTTAGAAGGCGGACAGAAAAATAACCACCAATCAGGATGTAGATAAAACACCACAGACTGTCTTAATCCCCTGAGATTATCCTGGTCTCTATGACCCTCTGAGTGTAAACATGGTCATTAAATACACTCTTAATCTGTGTGTGTGTGTGTGTGTGTGTGTGTGTGTGAGCAGGAGATCATCCTGAAGAGAGCGGCCGACATCGCCGAGGCGCTCTACAGCGTCCCAAGAAACCACAACCAGATACCATCGCTAGGCAACACCGCCTCCCATGGCATGATGGGAGTTAACTCCTTCAGTGGACAGCTCGCCGTCAACGTGTCCGACTCGACACAAGGTACAGAACCAGGAGCAGGTCCAAACAGGTCCACATGTAGGCCGTGAGTGTTGAACTATTTTAACCCCGTGTTGACCTTTACAGTTGGCTACAGTCGTAACACGAGCAGCGTGTCGCCACGAGGATACGTTCCAAGCTCCACCCCCCAGCAAAGTAACTATGGCAACACTGTCAGCAACAGCATGAATGGCTACGGAAACACAGGCATGCCAAACCTCGGGGTCGCAACGTCACCAGGTTTCCTCAACGGCTCGTCTGCAAATTCCCCCTACGGCAGTAAGTATCAAGGTAAATACCATTATTACTACCATAACTACCATAACTAAACATAACTAACCATAACTACCATAACTAACCATGACTAACCATAACTACCATAACTAATATTACTGCAAATTCCCCCTACGGCAGTAAGTATCAAGGTAAATACCATTATTACTACCATAACTAACCATAACTAAACATAACTAACCATAACTACCATAACTAACCATAACTACCATAACTACCATAACTAATATTACTGCAAATTCCCCCTACGGCAGTAAGTATCAAGGTAAATACTATTATTACTATCATAACTAACCATAACTACCATAACTACTATATCTAACCATAACTACCATAACTAACCATAACTACCATAACTACTATATCTAACCATAACTACCATAACTACTATATCTAACCATAACTACAATAACTAACAATAACTAACAATAACTACCATAACTAACCATAACAACCATAACTAACCATAACTACCATAACTACTATATCTAACCATAACTACAATAACTAACCATAACTACCATAACTAACCATAACTAACCATAACTACCATAACTAACCATAACTACCATAACTACTATATCTAACCATAACTACCATAACTACTATATCTAACCATAACTACAATAACTAACAATAACTAACAATAACTACCATAACTAACCATAACTACCATAACTAACCATAACTAACCATAACTACCATAACTACCATAACTAACCATAACTACCATAACTAACCATAACTACCATTACTACCATTACTAACCATAACTACCATTACTACCATAACTACCATAACTAACCATAACTACCATAACTAACCATAACTACCATTACTACCATAACTAACCATAACTACCATAACTACAATAACTAACAATAACTACCATAACTAACCATAACTACCATTACTACCATAACTAACCATAACTACCATAACTACAATAACTAACAATAACTACCATAACTAACCATAACTACCATAACTACCATAACTAACCATAACTACCATAACTAATATTACTGCAAATTCCCCCTACGGCAGTAAGTATCAAGGTAAATACCATTATTACTACCATAACTAACCATAACTAAACATAACTAACCATAACTACCATAACTAACCATAACTACCATAACTAATATTACTGCAAATTCCCCCTACGGCAGTAAGTATCAAGGTAAATACTATTATTACTATCATAACAACCATAACTACCATAACTAACCATAACTAACCATAACTACCATAACTAACCATAACTACACTAACTACTATATCTAACCATAACTACCATAACTACTATATCTAACCATAACTACAATAACTAACAATAACTACCATAACTAACCATAACAACCATAACTAACCATAACTACCATAACTACTATATCTAACCATAACTACAATAACTAACCATAACTACCATAACTAACCATAACTAACCATAACTACCATAACTAACCATAACTACCATAACTACTATATCTAACCATAACTACCATAACTACTATATCTAACCATAACTACAATAACTAACAATAACTAACAATAACTACCATAACTAACCATAACTACCATAACTAACCATAACTAACCATAACTACCATAACTACCATAACTAACCATAACTACCATAACTAACCATAACTACCATTACTACCATTACTAACCATAACTACCATTACTACCATAACTACCATAACTAACCATAACTACCATAACTAACCATAACTACCATTACTACCATAACTAACCATAACTACCATAACTACAATAACTAACAATAACTACCATAACTAACCATAACAACCATAACTAACCATAACTACCATAACAACCATAACTAACCATAACTACCATAACTAACCATAACTACAATAATTAACAATAACTAACAATAACTACCATAACAACCATAACTAACCATAACTACCATAACTAATATTTATACAAAGTCCCCTTCGGTAGTTCTGCTCTGACTGCATGAAACTGGTTGGTATAACTGGTTAAACTGGTTGGTATAACTGGTTAAACTGGTTGGTATAACTGGTTAAACTGGTTGGTATAACTGGTTAAACTGGTTGGTGTAACTGGTTAAACTGGTTGGTATAACTGGTTAAACTGGTTGGTATAACTGGTTAAACTGTTTTTTGCTCTTTTTGTTTCAGTTGTTCCCTCAAGTCCGACCATGGCGGTCTCTAACTGTAACTCCTCCCACGGCGTTTTCTCGTTCTCTGCCGCCGTCAAACAGAAGAGCGCCTTCGCTCCTGTTGTACGACCGTCTGCGTCTCCTCCTCCTCCGAACTGCTCCAACAACAACTCCAACGGGCTGCAAGGTGACTCCTCAACTCCAACCTGCTGACACACCTCATAGATACACTCCTCCTCAGTCCTGACCACACCTCCTCAGTCCTGACCACACCTCCTCAGTCCTCATAGTCCTCCTCTGTGACCGCAGGAATAACAGTACTCTGTTATCGGAGCGATTTAAATATTTTTACGGAATATTTCAGATATTTAAATATTTTTATGTAATATTTTATTTATTTTAAATATTTTTACAGAATATTTTAGATATTTTAAATATTTTTATGGAATATTTTAGATACTTTAGATATTTTAAATATTTTTACGGAATATTTTAGATATTTTAAATATTTTTACGGAATATTTTAGATATTTTAAATATTTTTATGGAATATTTTAGATACTTTAAATATTTTTACAGAATATTTTAGATTTTTAAATATTTTTACGGAATATTTTATATATTTTAAATATTTTTACGGAATATTTTAGATATTTTAAATATTTTTACGGAATATTTTAGATATTTAAATATTTTTATGGAATATTTTAGATATTTTAAATATTTTTACGGAATATTTTAGATATTTAAATATTTTTATGGAATATTTTAGATATTTTAAATATTTTTACGGAATATTTTAGATATTTTAAATATTTTTTTCTGATAAATTCAGATGAGAGACGATGAGACCAGAAAAGGATGAGACGGTTAAAAACAAAAATCTGTGCAGCTGAAATCAATCGTCTGTAATGTTTAAGTGAATGAAAGAGGAGCAAACGATTCACTGCTGATTTAGTCATGTCAGCCACACACACACACACACACACACACACAGTGTCAGGGTGGGTAACCTGAGTTGTGTTAGTATTTCATGGAGAGTGACAGGCCAATCCATGTTTTATTCACTACAACCCACAGATACATCCTCTTAACACACAAGCACACACACACACACACACACAGGCTCTGTGTGTGTGTGTGTGTGTGTGTGTGTGTGTGTGTGTGTGTGTGTGTGTGATGTCAGTGTTTCTGACAGAGAGGTTTGTTGAGTGTTAAATATTCATGCTGCTCTCCGCCTTCACACAGAAAGGCCACACTGTGTTTGTGTGTGTGTACTTGTGAGTGTGTGTATGTGTTTGTGTGTGTGTATGTGTTTGTGTTTTATGTGTGTGTTTGTTGTTCCATTAGCAGATGTATAAGCACAGTTTAATAAAGACTTTATTTTGAAGTAATAAGAGGACTTTATTTTGAAAGGACAGTTTCCACAGTTTATTATTATTATTAATGACATAAGAAGTGATTATAAATCAAAGTCACACCCGTGGACAGCATGTCCGCTCCGCTCCACCGTCATGTGATCATGTCTTTATAATCAGGTGTGTGTTTGAGAGGATCAATAATATCAATAATATCAATAATATCAATAATATCAATAATATCAGTTGGAGAGTTTAGAGACTCATGATGGACGAGAGAGCCTGCTCTGATTTAACCCTCCCTCTCTCTCTCTCTCTCTCTCTCTCTCTCTCTCTCTCTCTCTCTCTCTCTCTCTCTCTCTCTCTCTCTCTCTCTCTCTCTCTCTCTCTCTCTCTCTCTCTCTCTCTCTCTCTCTCTCTCTCTCTCTCTCTCTCTCTCTCTCTCTCTCTCTCTCTCTCTCTCTCTCTCTCTCTCTCTCTCTCTCTCTCTCTCTCTCTCTCTCTCTCCCTCTCTCTCTCTCTCTCTCTCTCTCTCTGCAGCCATGTCCGGCCTCGTCGTCCCTCCGATGTAAACCTTCCTCCTCCTCCTCCTCCTCCTCCTCCTCCTCCTCTTTGATTCTTCTCCACCTCAGCCACGAGCACCAATCACCTCAGAGGAGGCGGGGCCTGTGACCTCAGGAGGCGGGGCCTCTGGCAGCAGCTGACCAATCAGAGCAGACTAAAGTGTCTGAGCGCACAGAAGAGGACAAAGAGAGGGTTTTGGTCTCGCAGGTCTCTGCAGGTCCTGGGTTTGGGGGCGTCGCCTGAACTGTGATGTCATACCGCTAATATGACATCATTTCCTCTCTTTATGACGTCACTCCTGACCATGAATAAGAGGGATCCTGCTTCATATTGACCTGAACCAATCCAAAGACCTGATTGGTCACCGCCCACTGAAGTTTAAACCAATCAGGAGGAGGCAGAGCCTGTCTGAGACTTCACACCTGCTGCTGTCAGCCAATCAGAATCGAGCGTCCTGACTCCAACTGTTAGATACTCTGAATAATGCTTGACCTTTGACCTCTGAGAGTAAACAGAAGCTGATTGTCCTCACGTAGCTAGCCCCGCCTCTCTTTGTTAAGCCCCGCCCTTCCTGTGTTTATATTTGTTGAACCTGTGTCACTCTCACTGTAAAAAACGATCCTGCATCCTGATTGGCTCCTGTGAATAACTGTCTTCTTGTTCAGAGATGTCTTTTTTAAACCCCTGACACCTAAGCCCCGCCCCCAGCACTTAAGCCCCGCCCCTGTGTTTTCTGTGTGGGTTTTGTGAATTTTGCCAAAGTTGTAGCCGGCTGAGTGTTTCTACGTTACTGTGATTGATCATCATGTCGCCCCGCCCCCTGCCTGTCCGTCACTGAGCTCACAGGGGGACTCCGCCCCTTTTTGTACCATACAGATTATAAATATGTATTTCTATGACCTCAGAGTGTTTTGTATAAATGGGTGTCAGGTATCGTCTCCATGCTGTAGACCTGTGTGTGTGTGTGTGTGTGTGTGTGTGTGTGTGTGTGTGTGTGTGTGTGTGTGTGTGTGTGTGTGTGTGTGTGTGTGTGTGTGTGTGTGTGTGTGTCTGTGTGTCTGTGGTGGTAACACACTCATTGATCATTTTGTATCAGAAAATAAACCTGAATGTTGGTGTCTCACACATTTATAGAGCTGTCAATCAGAGCTGACCGTCCAATCAGCTGCACTCGTTCGGTTGTTTTTAATGTGAACTTTGATTTGATTGGTTGTTCTGACATCATTTCTCACCATGAATAAAATCTGCAGCTCAAACGACTTTTCCTCTCAGTGTCTCTTTTTATTATTATAATTATCAATATATATTTAATTAATATTATTAACGTCATCATTATCACTTTCTTTGTTATTGATATTTACATCTTTTTTACTGTTGTTATTATTATTTACTCTTTTATTATCGTTATTATCAATATTCTTATTTGTAATCACTGTTGTTGTGAAGTCGTCTCTCCGTCACGACTCTAAAGTCTCTAAAGTCAAAGAACAGAAAAGTTTATTTTCCAGATTTTAACCAGAAGATCTAAAGAGTTTGAACAACAGGACAGGTGTGTGTGTGTGTGTGTGTGTGTGTGTGTGTGTGTGTGTGCAGAGTGTGTGTGTGTGCAGAGGGCGTGTCCTGGCTGGGGGGTCGTTAGCTGGATGAGCTGCACCTGGGAACGGTTCACTCTGGTCTATAAGTGATTTGCTGGTCCTCTCTGGTCCTCTCTGGTCCTCCCTGGTCCTCCCTGGTCCTCTCTGTCTCTCCCTGAAGACTCTTTTGTTTCATGTTCTCGACCGTCTCAGATTACTCGAAAGTTTGAACCTGTTAAAGTGACGAAAACAAACGAAGAAAAAGGAGAAAAACGACGACGGAGTGAGAGGAGAGACGAGTGTTTGGACGTCCTGATGGACTCTCTGTCCTCTCTTATCGTCCTCTCTCATATCTCTACGTTTCTCTCTCAGTTTAAAGTGATGATGAAACACACACACACACACACACACACACACACACACACACAGAGTCGGTGGTTAATGAACTTTTATTAAACGTCTGTGTTCCCTCAGAGAGACAAAAGCACAAACAGGAAGTGATTAAGATAAATCAGAGATAACCTCAAACCTCATTATTACACAGACCTTTATTTATTCTCTCTGATTTCACCTCTTTATTTCACACACACACACACACACACACACACACACACACACACAGACACACACACACACACACACACACACAGTCTGATTCTTCTGTCTGTTTGTTAAATGAACAGATTTAATCTGTTGTTTCTCTCTCTGGGCTGAAGTGAACCATCTAAAGAACCCGGTCTTTGGGGCTCGGGTTCATGTAGTCCACATCCTACAGTCTAGATGTTCACCCCCGACCTCCACCTTCATCCTGATGGTCTCCTAAAAGGTCGTATCCTCCGATCGTAGCTGATCGTAACCATTCAAGTTAACGTGTCAATTTACACCGACTTCTTTCCGTTCCTCTGCGGATCGCCGGACTCCTCAGCTGATCACAAGAGTTCTATTTTTTCTGGACGCCGGAGCATGGCGGATAAATTCAGCACAGATTAACCCGTGCTGGAAAGGAAGTCGGGCACAGACTTCAAAATAAAACATCCGGCTTCTTTTCAAAATAAAACACTCCGTGTTTCAGGAGGATCGTATTTCACACCACGTGTGTGTCTGTGTGTCTGTGTGTGTGTGTGTGTGTGTGTGTGTGTGTGTGTGAGATCAAAACAATGATCACTGTCTCTTCTTCTTCTGCTCCAGGATAATATTTGATCCAGTTTCTGTTTCCAGGCAAGCCTCTGAACACACACACACACACACACTGAGAGCTCAGGGGTCTCCCTGAGGACCTGATTGAGAGCATGGAGCTCTGGTTGCCGTGGCAGCAGCAGCTCCCATCCTCCATCAACACTCATTTTTTTATTTTTTATTCTCTCTCTCTCTCTCTCTCTCTCTCTCTCTCTCTCTCTCTCTCTCTCTCTCTCTCTCTCTCTCTCTCTCTCTCTCTCTCTCTCTCTCTCTCTCTCTCTCTCTCTCTCTCTCTCTCTCTCTCTCTCTCTCTCTCTCTCTCTCTCTCTCTCTCTCTCTCTCTCTCTCTCTCTCTCCCTCTCTCTCTCTCTCTCTCTCTCTTTCTCTCCCTCTCTCTCTCTCTCTGTCAGACACACTAAAAACACTTTCAAATTAAAACATCATTTATACTTTTTAAACTCTTATAACTGTGTCTGTACGGCTTTTTCACAGTAACCAATGATCACTTTATATACAGAAATATTATATATATATATATATATAATATTTATGTAATATTATATATATATCAGGATGACGTCTCCTAAACTCAGTGAATCTTTTTATTAAAAACATGAATTTAAACAGAAAAAAACTTTAAAGTTTCTCTCAGCTGAAGAAACATGAACTGTGTGTCTGTGTGTGTTTGAGTGTGTTTGTGTGTGTTTGAGTGTGTGTGTGTGTGTGCTCCTCGTTGTCTCAGACTAATGCTCTCCATTACTGCTGATCAATACTCCACCTATTGATCTGATTCTTATTGATCCACACATTGACACACTCAGAGTGTGTGTGACCTGTCTCACCTTGTCTGATCGTCCAATCAGGATCTGAACATCTGTGTGTGTGTGTGTGTGTGTGTGTGTGTGTGTATCACGTCCAGCTCGTTAACCCACCTGTTTCCTCGTTAGTGATCTGATTGGATCGTTTGGACTCGACCCGCCTTAACGAGCAGAAACAAACTTGGACTGTTTTTCACTTCCACAAGTTTCTGACTCTCCTCCTCCTCCTCCTTCCTCTCCTCCTCCTCCTGCTCCTCCTCCTCCTCCTCCTCCTCCTCCTCCTCCTCCTCCTCCTCCTCCTTCCTCTCCTCCTCCTCCTGCTCCTCCTCCTCCTCCTCCTCCTCCTCCTCCTCCTCCTCCTCCTCCTCCTCTCCTCCTCCTCCTCCTCCTCCTCCTTCTCTGACTGAAGTAAAAAGTTCAGATGAAGTTTGTTTGTTTATCGTCTCAGTTTCCATGGAAACAGAACCCGTCCTCATGAGTCCAACAGTAAAAACCGTCAGAAGATCTTTACTGAGTCAGAGAAACAGACGTGAAGATGATGATCATCAGGAGAGTCTGAGCGGACCTCTGAGGAACCGAGTTCTGGATCAGTTTCAAACGGATCTTTGGTTCTCTTTAAAGGAACATCCCATAATATGATCTGGACTCTGGAATAAGGAAGACCAGCATCTGACATCAACACACAGATCCTGGAGGTGAAGGGGGGACAGTCGGACTCTGAAGAGTTCTGGTTCTGACAGCTGGACTCTGTGAAGTTCTAGTTCTGACAGTCGGACTCTGTGAAGTTCTGGTTCTGACAGTCGGACTCTGTGAAGTTCTGGATCTGACAGCTGGACTCTGTGAAGTTCTGGATCTGACAGCTGGACTCTGTGAAGTTCTGGTTCTGACAGTCGGACTCTGTGAAGTTCTGGATCTGACAGCTGGACTCTGTGAAGTTCTGGTTCTGACAGTCGGACTCTGAAGAGTTCTGGTTCTGACAGCTGGACTCTGTAAAGTTCTGGTTCTGACAGTTGGACTCTGTAAAGTTCTGGTTCTGACAGTCGGACTCTAAAGTTCTGGTTCTGGTTCTCCTCTCTCACAGAAGTTCTGACTTTTCTAAGTTCGGACCTCAGAGACAGACTCTGTCTGCGGCCTCGGTCTGATACTGATCAGCCAATCACATCATTGAGTCCATGGAGCTGTGTCGCCGTGACGACCAGCAGCTGTAAACAAAGGGCGGTCCCCAGGGTGGAGCGGGGCGGCGAGGGCGGCGAGGGCGGCGAGGGCGGCCATGTTTGTTGATTAAACTAAAACCAGACAAACAAAGAGAGAAAACAAACTAATTACAGCAAACACACACCTGATCGCTAACGAGGCTTAACGAGGTCACCCTCTGTTTACACGCCCAGAGAGAGAGAGAGGGTGTGTGTGTGTGTGTGTCTGTGTGTGTGTGTGTGTGTGTGTGTGTGTGTGTGTGTGTGTGTGTGCGCTTACAGGATGTGGCGACATCAAGATAAAGTTCCATCAGTGTTTCTACAAACGACCGAATTTCAGCTTCACTCAACCATCAATTATTCACCTGTATGTGTGTGTGTGTGAGTGTGAGTGTGTGTGTGAGTGTGTGTGTGTGTGTGTGTGTGAGTGTGAGAGTGTGTGTGTGTGTTTGTGTGTGTGAGTGTGTGTGTGTGTGAGAGAGTGTGATTGATAGACCGTCTCCATAATGTGTGTATCCATAATTCATACATTGACATGACAACTGATATTTAATTTAATGCTTTACACACACACACACACACACAGACATAAACACACACACACACACACAAACACACACACACACACACACACACACACACACACACACACACACACACACACACGTACTGACCCACAAACCTGTTTTGTTGAGACAAACACAGTTTATAAAGAAGGGAGCAGGATAAAAGAGAAGGAAAGAAGGAAAGGAGGAAGGAAAGGAGAGATTGAAGGAGAGAGGAAGTTTGGAAAAAGAAAGTCGGAGAAGAAATTCAGAAGGTCTGAAGTTCAGACACAGATCCAGACTTCAGAAGTGAAGATGGTTCCTTTGGGTCTGACCAGGAATCATCCAATCAGGAGACAGCGTGATAAAGAGTATGGAGAGAAGGAGGAGGAGGAGCTTCATCTGGACCTCCATCAGGACCTCCATCAGGACCTCCATCAGGACCTTCATCAGGACCTCCATCAGGGGCTCAGACCTCCATCTGGACCTCCATCAGGGGCTCAGACCTCCATCTGGACCTCCATCAGGACCTCCATCTGGACCTCCATTTGGACTTCCATCAGGACCTCCATCAGGACTTCCATCAGGAGCTCAGACCTCCATCAGGACCTCCATCAGGACCTCCATCAGGAGCTCAGACCTCCATCAGGACCTCCATCAGGACCTCCATCAGGACCTCCATCAGGACCTCCATCAGGACCTCCATCAGGACCTCCATCAGGACCTCCATCTGGACCTCCATCAGGACCTCCATCTGGACCTCCAGGTCCTAATGGTTGGAGATCTGAGGAGGATTTCCGTGTCTGTATGAAGGTCAGAAAACAAACATCTGAGACACTGACCAGAGGAGGAGACCAGAGAGAAGATCTGAGAGACGATCTACAGAGAAACTCAGAGAGAAAAGGAAGTAAATAAATCAACAAGGAAGGAGGAGGAGGAAAAACAGACAAAAAAACAGGGAGAGGAAAATATATAAACTGATTTTTACTAAAGAAAAGAAAGAAAGAGAGAGAGTGAAGAGTCAAGGAAAGGAAAGAGGAAAGGACAGAAGAAAGGGAGAAGGAAAGGTTAGAAGGCAGGACGGAAGAAAGGATCGAAGAAAGAAAGAAGAAAGGAAAGAGGAAAGAAAAGAAGAAAGGAAAGAAGAAAGGAAGGAGGGAAGGAAAGAAGAAGGACAGGATGAAAGGAAGGAGGAAAGGAAGGAGGAAAAATCTGAGAACGAAAAAAAACAAATAAAGTAAATGAGATAAAAATGATGGAGAGAAAAGAGAGAGAGGCCGTGTGTGTGTGTGTGTGTGTGTGTGTGTGTGTGTGTGTGTGTGTGTGTGTGTGTGTGTGTGTGTGTGTGTGTGTGTGTGTGTGTGTGTGTGTTATTGAGTTTCTCGGCTCTAAATATGATCCATGTCTGATGTCATGATGACAAGTGAGCGATTATCATCCCGCCTTTCTCATATCAGCCTGTGTGCGCACACACACGTGCACATGCACACACACACACACAGCTCTCAGGTTAATCTAATGGTGGTTTATGAAGAAGAGACGGATGAAGAATGAAACATGTTTTGTGTTTTTACTCTCCAACACGCTAAGATCACGGATGTCTGATTCAGACCTGAGCACAGCGCCCCCTCAGCCCTGTGGTCAGCCGCAGTACTGCAGTTCAGAGTCTGTCTGAGGTGTGAGTGGACCAGAACCAGAACCAGACCCAGATCAGAGTCTGTCAGTATAGATGGAGGACACTGGTTTTTATCCTGTGAACCTCATGAAGTCTCGTTTTTATACGTCAACATTATTGATTATAGATTTACTCAGAGTTATCGTCACATGACCACCGTTTAGGTTTCATCTCATTTACGTCATAAAGGTTTGTTGACGACGATATTTCGTCATGATTTACGTCAACGCAGCAACACTAGTCAGAACGGGTCGGTCCACATCAGAACTTTCATGATCCATAAAGAATCCAGTTCTGGTTTTCACTGAACACATCCAGAACCTCCTTCAGAGCGCCGCCAGACTCTCTTCATACAGACGACGCCATCTTGGATTTAGAGCTGAGTCTAGACAGGAAGGAACTGGATTGGCTCTTCCCTCTGATTGGCTCTTTCTTCTGATTGGCTCTTCCCTCTGATTGGCTCTTCCCTCTGATTGGCTCTTCCCTGTGATTGGCTCTTCCCTGTGATTGGCTCTTCCCTCTGATTGGCTCTTCCTTCTGATTGGCTCTTCCCTCTGATTGGCCGGCTCTCACGTCTCCTCTGAACCTTAAATCTCCACGTTCTTTCAAGTCCTGGTCTCCAAAGACTGTGAGTTTGTTTATCAGAGCGAAACTAAAATAAATAAATAATGCCATAGATTAAGACATGGGAGGGCGGGTATTGATCAGGTATTGATCAGGTATTGATGTGTGTTTGTGACTGTTGCTGTTCTGAGGTCAGACATACTGATGGGGGGGTTATCTAATGGATTTCCTCTGAATGGAAAGCAATTAAAACTCAACATCAACACCATTAACCCCGAACACACACACACACACATGAATGTGTGTCTGAGTGTGTGTGTGTGTGTGTGTGTGTGTGTGTGTGTGTGTGTGTGTGTGTGTGTGTGTGATTGGCTGCTAATCCTGGTTAAATTAATGAGAAGAAAGTTAATTTGTGGTTTTGACCCTTTTCTGCTCAGAAAAAAGGATTACACACAACAATATAAGACACACACACACACACACACACACACACACACACACATATAAGACACACACACACACACACACACACACACACACACACACACACACACACACACACACACACAGGTTGGTACACTAACTCCTCATGCTGTGAGTGTGTGATAATAAATGAAAGAGAGGAATAAAAGACGACAGGTTGGTTCAGTCTGTTTAAATCTCTCTCTCTCACACACACACACACACACACACACACACACTCTCTCTCTCTCTCTCTCTCTCTCTCTCTCTCTCTCTCTCAGTGTGGAGTCATCAGTGATTGGATGAGATCATTATGAAGGTCTTGTTATTAAATTAATCCCTCTCATTATTTTTGACCCTCTGAGCCTCTGTAGTTTAAACACACACACACACACACACACACACACACGCGCGCGCACACACACACACACACACACACACACACACACACACACACACACACAGTCACAGATTATAAAGCTGCAGTTCCCTGGTTTTCCACCGGGGGCGTGTCCTGCAGTGAGGCAGTCTCCATAGAGGTCCATGTTCAGAGTTCTGAGTCCAGACCAGGTTCAGACAGAGAACAACACGAGCAGATCTGGATCCAGAACCTCAGACTGGACCTTCTTCTGTGTTCGGGTCCGCCAGAACCTGGTCTGCTGGGTCCACTCAGGTCCACAGAACCTGGTCTGCTGGGTCACACAGAGCAGAGAACTGGATCAGTCCAGGGCAGAACTTTTGAAAGTTCTGGTTGTAGTTTACCTGCTGGTTTACACGCTGTGTGTCCTCCTGCATGTGTGTTGGTGTGTGTGTGTGTGTGTGTGTGTGTGTGTGTGTGTGTGTGTGTGTGTGTGTGTGTGTGTGTGTGTGTGTGTGTTTTAGTGTGTGTGTGTGTGTGTGTGTGTGTGTGTGTGTGTGTGTGTGTGTTT